AGTGCGTGTCGTGTGCGTGTGCGTAAGCGTGTGCGTGTGCGTGTGCGTGTGCGTGACCGCATGTGCGTGTGTGTGTGTGTGTATGTGTGTGCGTGTGTGTGTGTGTGTGTGCGTGTGTCAGTGTGTGTGTCAGTGTGTCTGTGTGTGTGTGTGTGTCTGTGTGTTTGTCTGTCTGTGTGTGTGTGTCTGTGTGTGTGTGAGCGTGCGGGGGTGTCTTTTCGTAGGCGTTCCCGCATTCGCCTGCGCGCGTCTGCTGCCGCCCGGGCCAGTCCCGCCGCGCTCCCGCGCTCGCGGCGGCGGTGCCGCCGCTCTGGCGCTGCAGGACACGGCGTGCGTGCGAGTGAGCACGCCTATCAGATTGGCCGCCTGTCTATGGGGCTGCTCTCAGTGCTTGGGGACGGCGCAGGTGCACTGTGAACGTCCGAAAAGATGTCGAGTGCGCCCCCCTGGGGAGGCAGGGGCGAAGGAGGGTGGACAACGGGGGCAGGGGGGGGGGAGCGAAGGAGGAGGAAGAGGAGGACGAAGGCGGCACCTCGAACAACGAGGACGAAGACGAGGAGGGAGGGAGGGGGAGTTGAGGGGGGGAGAAGAAGGAGGAGGATCACGAGGAGGAGGAGGTGGAGGAGGAGGAGGAGGTGGTGGAGAGAGGAAGGCGAGCAAGGAGGCGGAGCCGGATGGGTGGGGAGGAGGTGGAGCCGGAGAAGGGGGAGAGGCAGAGGGAGGAGGCAGCGAGGAGAATGACAGAGCAGAGGGGGCCTACGCTGCAGCAGCGATGCTACATGGCACCCCCCCGTCGCGACAGTCCCCTTCGCAGAAGTCCCCGCAGGCCACCTTGCCCCCCCCCCCCCCCTGGCGGGGCCATCGCCCCGTGGGCCTGCTGTGCAGGCGAGGGCCCCGTGTTGAAGACATCGTGACATCTTCCCTCCCAGCGGAGTAAGGAGCGAGGAGGAGGAGGAGGAGGAGGAGGAGGAGGAGGAGGAGGAGGACTCGTAGGATGAGAATTGTTGACGCTTCGCGAATCCCCACCAGCAGTGTAGCTAATCAGCCTTGTTCTTTGCCCCGGACATTTGCTTTCGCCGCGTGTGCTCTTCGCTCGCGGCCGCGACCAAAAAAGAATTCCCACCAGCCCATCCAGAAACGATGCCCAGAGGAATTGCCTCGATCATCGAAGTGGGCAGCACACAGAGGAAGCCATTATCAGACATCTTGGGATATCTTGAGCCATCTTGGAGGTCATCTTGGGCTCTCCCAGGCGCTCTTGGAGTCATCTTAATCAGTGCCCCCCTCCAAGAGGCTTCTCGCCGAGGATTCTTGTAGCATCTTGGGTGCCTATGGGAGGTCTCTTGGGGCCTTATGGGGGTCTCTTGGGAGCCTCTTGGGGGCATCCTGGGGGCCTCTTGGGGCTTCCTGGCCACCTCTTGGGGCCCTCTTGGGGCACCCTTGGGAGCATTGGGGGCCATCTTTGGGCCATCTTGGGTGAGATCCATCACAGGAAGGGGGGGTGACTAAGTAGGGCCCCCCCTCAGGAGGCCAAAATGTTGCCAACACCGTAGTAAAACCAATGCTTTTGGCTTCCTCTCCGAGGCCGTTTGGACGCCCTGACACCTCGCGACCCCCCCCCCCCGTCCAGGTCCAGGGGAGGGGGGAGGGGGAGGGGTAACCCACTCCCCGAAGGGGAAGAAGGAGGGGTGGAAGAGGAAACTCTCTAAACCACCGACGCCCAGAGGGCTGGTGGGATTTCAGCGATGTGTCAGCGCTGTCCCCGTTGTGAAAGAAACGGGTCAGCGCCCGACATGTTAACTTGTGGCATGAGCTCCACACGTTTCGGTCGGAGCGTCCAAGGAACCCCAGGCTATAGCAGACTTTGAGCAGGAGCCGTCCTCCGTCCGTGCAGATGTTGCAGCTGCTGAGGCCTCTGGTCTTTGAATGCTTGGTGGTCTCACGCGAAACCTGCACTTCGAACACACATTCGTCCTCCAGTCTTCGCATTTGTTGCAACCGTTAGGACACATTTGCGCGGCGCTAAGGCGACAACCCGATTTGAAAAGGAACCGTTGTCCATCCTGGCAGCTGCTGCAGTTTCAATGAATGTGCGTGGCGCTACAGCGAGAAGGACATGTTGAAGCAAAGCCTTCATCCTTCTAGCGGTTGCAAGTCTTGATGCAGAATGCGCGCGGAACCAAGAGAGAGCTTCATCTGGAATATCACTCCATCAATTTCTGTAGTTGCTGCAGGTTTTCATGGCGAATGTGAGTGGCTCTAAGTTCGAAGCTTCAAGACCATCGTTGGTGAGGAAGTCTCAGGCGAGACGCTTGGCCCGCCCTGCCGACACGTCTTTGGCTGCGGTAATGATGAGCTATATAAGGAAGCTATTTGGAAGAAGCTGGGCAATAGGAGGAGGATGAGGAGGAGGACCATCGTAAACCCAAGACCCATCACATATGTTGGAACACACCCTACCGCCAAGCTCCCTTCTTCAGAGGACCCTACAAGGGTTCACATCCATTGGGGGAAGTGCACCGTTGAGGAACAGCCGCGTGACAATCTTCAAGCGTGCCAAAACACCATTCTCAGGAGTTCAACGCCACGAGTCAACCTCACTGGTGTGTCTTGACGATCCTGAATCGTGCCGGAACGCTGTTCCTGGGACTTCAAGACCGCGAATCAACGTAATTGGTTTGCCCTGACGCTCCTGAACCGCTCCAGAACACAGGCCCTGGCACCTTAGCCATGATAATCAACGACACTCTTGCAAATGTTTGAAACGAATGTGCGCAGCACTACTGCGAGAGCCACGTTTTGAAAACGAACCGCCCTCAATCCACTGAATCCTTGCAGTTGTTTGAAACGAGTGCGCGCGGCGCTTAGACGAAAGTCACATTTTAAACGCGGCCCGACCTCAAATAGTGAAAGTTCTGCAAATGTTTAAAGCGATTATGCGCGGCGCTAAGGCGAGAGGTACATTTTGAAAGCGACCCGCCGCTCAATCAGTAAGTAAAGCTTTTGCGAGTGACTGAAACGAATGTGTGTTCAGCGCTGAAGCGAGCGCCGCATTTTGGAAGGGACCTGCCCTCCATCTGCGAAACTGTTGCCAGCTTTTCGGCTTTAGGTTCATAGGTGGTAGGGAAGTCTCGGGAGAAACGCGTGGCCTGCCCTTTCGACTGGCCTCGGGGTGCGACATTTACGTCGGGCCTGTCCCTCCACAGGAGGAACATTCAAAAATAGTCCAACAATACTATTGTATAGTCCCCCCCAAAATATTCAAAAATCATCCCCAAACTATTGAATAGTTTGGGGACGATCTTTTGAGCATTTTGGGATTATTTTTGAATATTTTTGGGGATTTTTTTAATTCTTCGTTTAAAATCCCGCTGTAGGAGGGCACGCCCGGCCTAAAGTTATCCATTGAAAAAAGAAATGGAGGAGGCGGTGGATGGAACCGGCCTGGTCCTCCCCTAAACCTTCTTGAGGCCAGCCCGCACTGCCTCCGGGGCCGGCGTCTGGTGTTGCCGGGGCGACCTGCACGAGAAGAGACGCCGTCGAAGACGAGCAGCCGGCGCTTCTTCGCGGTCTCGTCGCCCAGGGTTCCTGTTCAGCCTGGGCGCAGGCAGATTTCGGCCCGCGACGGAGCGCCTGTCGTGGAGACGGGATCGAGAGGCCCAGGAACTCAGGTCGTAACATAATCATGGCCTTGGTGGATTTGTCAGGAGAGAAAAAAACACACAGACACAATTAATCGTCGATCCCCCAGAAATATAGGAAAATATGGGAAGTGTGGGGGAAGACAAAAACTCAGAAAATATGGAAAAACTATGAAGAATATTTTTATTTGTGTGTCCTGGGGCCCCTTCAATTGGGGAGGGCCATGAAGGGGGGCCTTCCGACGGATGTCACATGTTTTCCGTGAGGTTGTTTGTTTCGCGGGTCTGCGCGAGTGCCCGCAGGCTTCCACTCGGATCCTGCGGGCCTTCGTGCTCCGCGCCGTGCTTGTCGTCTCAGTGGCCGCTGACCGTGCTTCTGCTACTGCTGGTACTGCTCCTAGCATCGCTACCACGACTTCTGTTACCATGCCTGCGCCAACTGCGTTACAGTTGCCCCGCCACGGGGGCCCGACCCGAACACCTACACCAGTAGCGGGCGTTACTCTGCACGCCAGGGACTGGGACGGAAAATGTGGGTACAAAGCTCAACATCAGCGTTTGTTCATTGAGAGCACGAGTTGCCGTCCTTCACGGCCCGTTGGGAATCAAGTTGTGTCATTTTGACAGCAGTTCTGGCTCATTTGTGAGCATTGGTTGTCCAGCTTGACAAACGTTGCTGGCAAACTTTCAAATCTATTGTGAGGAGGTTTCCTGTTGGCAGTATTTCTCGTTCGACACGAGCAGGCACTTCTGTCCGTCATCCTACCCATATTTTGGTCCCAACTCTGGGCGCTCAAATTTACGGGGAGAGATCAAACAACAATATCTGGAGAGTCCTGGACTGGAGGCCCAGTGGATCTAGGCCTTCCAGTTGGGGTCCGATTAGATGGGTCGGAGGATCGCGCCGCATCGCCGATGCATTGGCGATGCGGCTAGACGAGAATCCAATTTTTCTACACGCTCGCGTCGCCCATGTATCGCCGATGTTGACGATGCATCGCCGATGTATCGGCGATGTATCGGGGATGCGGCGCGATGCTCCGACCCCATTTACTCGGACCCCATGTGGGAGGCCTCTAATGGACGGCGCCTTCGTCAAGCAAAGGCCACGCGTCCTGGCCTGCCAAGAGGCCACCCGACGACTGTTCTGAGGACCTTGCGAGATGCCCTTCGAGCATCTCCGTCCGAGACCGTCCCGTTTGAGCTCGTCGGTCGCGCGCTCCAAGAACATGGCTCTTGATCTCCGAACCCCCTCTCTCTCTACGAAGGGACACGTCGTGGCGGGCCTCCAGGACATGCCGTGCCCGTGGGTCCCCCCGCGGGGCCTCGGGCCGCACCGCCCGGGCCCCCGCGCGGCAGGGCAGCAGCAGCGGCTGCTACACGCTGGAGTTCCTGCGGCAGATGCAGCAGGACGGCCTGCAGCCGAACCTGGCGGGGCGCTCGGCCCGCCGGCGGCCCCCCCCCCCCGCGCGGGCCACGTCTTGGGCTCTCGGCGGCGAGCGCCGACCAGCGTCGACGAGCGTCGATTGGCGTCCGGGGGGGCGCCGAGGCGGCGCCGACTTGGCGCCAGCCTGCGTCGAGCAGCGTCGGTTTGGCGTCGATATTGGCGTCGGCTGCGTCGACTAGCGTCGATCCGCCGAAGCCGACAAGATGGTATGGGAGGCTCCCATGAGCTGCCACCGAACAATCTCGGCGTCCTCGATGAGTCGGCAGCGAGCGAGGGGGGGAAGTACGAAGGAGAAGGCCTTCTCGGAAGGCGGCGGGGTTTCTCAGAAGCCCTCGGGCATTCCGAGAAGTGTTCCGCGTCATCGGTGAAGGCTCCGGAAGCTTCTCAGAAGGCCAGGGGACTTCCAAGCCTTCTCAGAGGGCCCGCCCCTTCTCGCTTCCCCTCCGGGCTCGCCGCCGACATGCCCCCTGTGATTCTCCCACTCCCCACCCTTTCTCGCTTCCCCACCTCGCTCGACGCCGATAGAGGAGTCTTCTAAAAGCTGGGGGCCTTTTTTGTGCTCGTTTTCAATCTTCACGTTTTCTTTCCGTGTTGGACGCCGCTTGAGTTAACCGCATCCCCCCGATAATAAATCATGCCCCCCACCTTCACGATTGAGCCATTATTCCACGGCGAATGCAGATGTGGTCGGGGAAGAGGGGCGAAAGTTGCGAATCGAAGTTGTTATTTTCTTCTGGTAAGTCGCATCGATTCCTAATGAGTCCTATTGATTGCCTAAGGAATCCTATGATATCCATGGGAATCCACTGGATGTCCTAAGGATGCCTATGGATGGCCTAAGGAATCCGATGGATGTCCGAAGGGATCTTATGGGTGGCCTAAGGAGTCTTCTTAGTCCTCCTCGTTCGTTCGCTCCCGCCCCGATTTTTGTCATTCTGTGTTTTCTTTCCAAACCATCCTGTGGTGTTGGGTCCTCGTTTTGAAGAGACGGTCCCCGCGTTCCTTCTCCTCATCCTCGGCCCCCTCCTCCTACCGTCCGCATGCGCCCCTCCCACCCAGTACAGCGCTTCGTAGCCCCATAGGGAGCTCCACCGAAGGCGCCAGTGCCACCGTCCACATGCGTCCCCCCCCACTCAGTCTTGCGTTTCGTGGCCCCATAGGGAGCTCCACCGAAGGCCCCAGTGCCACCGTCCACATGCGTCCCCCCCACTCAGTACAGCGCTTCGTAGCCCCATAGGGAGCTCCACCGAAGGCCCCAGTGCCACCGTCCACATGCGTCGCCCCCACTCAGTACAGCGCTTCGTGGCCCCATAGGGAGCTCTCAGTGGCCCCATAGGGGCTCCACCCCCCAGTGCCACCGTCCACATGCGTCCACCAGTACACCCCGCCACAGCGTCCACATGCGTCGCCCCCACTCAGTACAGCGTTTCGTGGCCCATAGGGAGCTCCACCGAAGGCCCCAGTGCCACCGTCCACATGCGTCCCCCCCACTCAGTACAGCGTTTCGTGGCCCCATAGGGAGCTCCACCGAAGGCCCCAGTGCCACCGTCCACATGCGTCCCCCCCCACTCAGTACAGCGTTTCGTGGCCCCATAGGGAGCTCCACCGCCCCAGTGCCAGTGCGCCCCACTCAGTGGCCCATAGGGCTCCACCGAAGGCCCCAGTGCCGCCGTCCACATGCGTCCCCCCCACTCAGTACAGCGCTTCGTGGCCCCATAGGGAGCTCCACCGAAGGCCCCAGTGCTATCGTCCACATGCGTCCCCCCCACTCAGTACAACGCTTCGTGGCCCCATAGGGTACTCCACCGAATGCCCCAGTTCCACCGTCCACATGCGTCCCCCCCACCCAGTACAGCGTTTCGTAGCCCCATAGGGAGCTCCACCGAAGGCCCCAATGCCACCGTCCACATGCGTCGCCCCCACTCAGTACAGCGTTTCGTGGCCCCACAGGGAGCCCCACCGAAGGTCACAGTGCCACCGTCCACTTGCGTCCCTCCCACTTAGTACAGCGTTTCGTGGCCACATAAGGAGCTCCACCGAAGGCCCCAGTGCCACCGTCCGAGTGCTCCCTGAAACACCAAATTTGGCATTTTCACGTATCCAGTACAGCGTTTCGTGCCCCGACAGGGAGCTCCACCGAAGGCCCCAGTGCCTCCGTCCGCATGCGTCCCGCACACCCAATGTAGCATTTTAATCACCTAGTGCAGCGTTTCGTGGCCCCACAGGGAGCTCCACCGACGGCCCCAGTGGGACCGTCCGCAAGCGTCCCGAAACACCCACTGTATCATTTTCACCCACCCAGTCCAGAATTTCGTGGCCCCGTAGGGAACTCCACCGAAGGCCCCAGTGCCACCGTTCGCATGCGTCCCGAAAACCCAACGTGGCATTTTTATCCACCCAATACAGCGTTTTCGTGGCCCCTCAGTGAGCTCCGCCGAAGCCCCCAGTGGGACCGTCCGCATGCGTCCCGGAAGCTCAATTTGGCATTCTCACCCGCCCAGTACAGCGCTTCGTGGCCCCATAGGGAGTTCCACCGGAGCCTCCAGTGGGACCGTCCGCATGCGTCCCAGAAGCTCAATGTGGCATTTTCACTTACCCAGTACAGCGCTTCGTGGCCCCATAGGGAGCTCCACTGAAGCCCCCAGTGGGACCGTCCGCATGCGTCTCGGAAACCTTACTTGACACACCACTCACCCAGAACAGTGTTCCCCCCCACCCAGTACAGCGCTTCGTGGCCCCATAGGGAGCTCCACTGAAGCCCCCAGTGGGACCGTCCGCATGCGTCTCGGAAGCCTTACTTGACACACCACTCACCCAGAACAGTGTTCCCCCCCACCCAGTGCAGCGCTTCGTGGCCCCGTAGGGAGTTTCTCCGAAGCAGATGTTCAGAATTGCGGTACCCACAACTGCATATGATTGAGTCCTTCGCGAAGATTTGTTGTAGTTGCTTGTTTTCTTGTCTCTCTCTCTCTGTATATATATATATATATATATATATCGGAGTAGGCTGGGGGGGGGGCCCGGTTGCTGCCTCTGGTCGCCACGGCGGCTCCCCCATGCAACGTGTGGGCACCCCTCACCAGGATCGTGGCCCCCTCGCCGAAAATTCGAGCCCTCAGTCTTCCGAAGAGGCCACAGGAGGCCCCAAGTGGCGTCCATGAGGCTCCCAAGACAGCCCACAGATGGTCAAGAAAGCCTCAGGAGGCCCCGAAGACGCCCAAGAGAGCCCCAAGATGGCCCCTGAGGGCCCCAAGAGGGCCTTCAAGAGGCAACAATCGGCACACTTCCTCTGTAAAACGTACATTTTCGGCGTACTCGTTGGCTTCGTCTTCACAGTGCCCCAGACGCCCCCGCGGAGCCCCAAGACAGCCCAAGAGAGACCCAAGAGGGCCCCCGACGGCCCAAAAGGGTCGGCCTGTGGGGCTCACCGAACCGCCCGAGACGGCCCAAGAGGCCCCGAAGCCGGCCCAGGAGGCCCCCAAGACGGCCTCAGGGAGGCCCAAGAGTGCCTCGTTCGAAATCATGTTCCCGGAAGCCTCTCCGGGAACATGGTTTCTGGGTCCCAGCGCTCCCTACTGGGCCCCAGGACAGCTTCAGCGAGGCCCCAGAGGGTCCGAGATGGCTTGAAGATGGCCGAAGAGGGCCCCAAGAGGGCCTTCAAGAGGCAAGCATCGGCCCACTTCCTCCGTAAAACATACATTTTCAGCATACTCTGTGGCTTCGTCTTCACAGTGCCCCAGACGCCCCCGCGGAGCCCCAAGACAGCCCAAGAGAGACCCAAGAGGGTCCCAGACGGCCCAAAAGGGTCGGACTGTGGGGCTTACCGAACCGCCCGAGACGGCCCAAGAGGCCCCGAAGCCGGCCCAGGAGGCCCCCAAGACAGCCTCAGGGAGGCCCAAGAGGGCCCCGTTCGAAAGCATGTTCCCGGAAGCCTCTCCGGGAACATGACTTCCGGGTTCCGAGGACGCCCTAGAGGGCCCCAGGACAGCCTCAGCGAGGCCCAAGTGGGCCCGAGATGGCTTCAAGATGGCCGAAGAGGGCCCCAAGAGGGCCTTCAAGAGGCACAAATCAGCCCGTCCCCGTAGTAAAACGTACGTACTCGGCGCGAGACAACTGGCGGCCGCAGCTGCCGTCCCTTCGTGCTGGGCGAGTGCGAACCTGGCGTTCAGTTTGGACGGAACGTGTCGGGTCTGTTGCCAATCGGGGCTGCGCCAGGTTAGGCCACCCCCAAGGTCAGGTTCGGGAATGGGTCGTAGCACCACGACGACGACGACGACGACGACGACGGCACGCCCCAACAGGCTCCCAAATACGCCCTAAACACATGCTCCCAGAAGGCCTTCTGGGAACCCGATTCATACGGCCTCCGCCCCCCTACACAACCATTTTCCTCGAAGGCCTTTCGGAATGCAGATTTGTATGCGTGGACTGTGGTCCAGTACTTCAGTGGAGCAGTGAATTCGTCAAGGCCTGGTGCCTGCTAGAACCTGAGCGCGCGCTAAGCGCGCGATGGTTCTAGTACATATATATATATAGATGTATATCGATGACCCGCCTCCCTCTCGCCATCCATCCCCCTCCTCCCAATGTCCTTCCTTGTTATTTTATGACACATGCTTTACCCCACCGCCTTAGCTTCCTTAGATCGCCCTTGATCCCCTTAGGAGCAGCATGAGGAAGATATTGACGCCACATCCGCACTGCCCAACGTCAGCCCATCGCACAAGAAGCAGGAGCAGGAGGAGGAGGAGGAGGAGGAGGAGGAGGAGGAGGAGGAGGAGGAGGAGGAGGAGGAGGAGGAGGAGGAGGAGGAGAGGAGGAGGAGGAGGAGGAGGAGGAGGAGGAGGAGGAGGGACGAGGAGGAGGAGGAGGAGGAGGAGGAGGAGGAGGAGGAGGGAGGGAGGAGGGAGAGGAGGAGGAGAGAGGAGGAGGGGGAGAGGGCAAGCTAGGTGCGCTCGCGTCATATCTGACGTCCTACCCCTCCCATCCCTTACCATGGCGCTGATTTTCTCTATCCGCGGACGCGTGTCGTAGCGGACCTGTGGCTCCGCGCGCGCGTGCGTAGTGGGTGGTGGTGCACGTGCGTGCGTGCGTGCGTGTGTGCGTGGTTGTCGTGGTGGTGGTGGTGGTGGTGGTAGTGGTGGTGGTGGTGGTGGTGGTGGTGGTGATGGTGGTGGTGTGGTGTGGTGGTGGTGGTGGTGCTGGTGGTGGTGGTGTTGGTACTGGTGCTGGTGCTGGTGGTGGTGGTGGTGGTGGTGGTGGTGGTGGTGGTGGCGGTGCGGCGCGGTGGTGGCGGGCGGATGGGCGCGCGAGAAAAAGGCCCGCGCTGGGGCGAGAACGCCATCCTGAACGACGGAGGCCAAACACCGATCCGAAAATGAGGCCCACGCTGCAGCGGGAGCACGATCCGGAACGATTCGGGAGCAGAAATGAGGCCGGCGCCCCAACGAGAGCAGCATTTTGGGAAAAAATGACGCCGGAAAAAATGACGCCGGCGCCTCAGCGAGAGTCGTTTCCCGGGATTTCCCGGGCATCCTGTGTGGAAAAAAACACTACGCGGAGTGTGCGCGGCCATCACCCCGACGCCATCAGGGGAAGAGGGAGAGTATTTTCATATTGAGTAATTGTAGAAGGAGGAGGAGGAGGAGGAGGAGGAGGAGGAGGAGGAGGAGGAGGAGGAGGAGAGGCGCCCGTGTGGCCCACTCCCACTTGCCCTCCCTGCTGCGGTTCCCCGTGTGGCTCCCTCCACGCGCACCTTTCCGTCCTCGCATGCGGGCGCCAGCTGCGTCGGTCCTGGCCAGGGCCGGTGTATACCGTCGGGAGCTCTTGGAGAGTGCCATTGCCAGGCCCTGGGACCATCAAGGCACATTCTGCGATGCGAAAACCTACCCTGAGGAGGGCGTTGAGAGGGCCAGCGGTCCACGTGTCGAGCAACACGTGGACTGAGTTTTGTCGGGCGGTCGCCAGGGAGGTGCTGCGAATGGTCTCGAAGGCTCTCGCGGGTGATTATGCCGTGTGACGTGGTACAGGCTTGCTCGGTTACTGCAGTTGTGCATGTGATGTGGGTGCGCGTGCGGTGTCGTGCGTTACGCTTGCATCTTCGACATTCGACCCATGCATTTCTGTTATTATGATATTTGCGTATGCCAAGTGTGTACTCCCATTTCGCTCGTAGGTCTGTTTTCGGCGCATGTTGATGACGCATGTTATTGCGTACCGGTGTCGTTTGTGTGATGCCATGGTTCTTGTTTGTAATGATTGCATATTCCCCATGACTGTTCTAGATGCGCAGCATGCGTTGAACATCCAGGTGCATTTTTTTGTCTGATCCCTGGTGATGCTAGAGGTTTTGCTGCACGTGATCGCTGTGTCGGTGTCTTTTGTGGACGTGCATGACTGGTATACGTTCATGGTGTAGCTTCCCTATGTGTACCAATGGTGTATGTTAGTCGTGCAGGTGTCTGATGTCTGCCCTGGGTGCTTGACATTGATGGGTATGCTGCTGTTTGGCCTGGGTGTACACTCTTCACGACTGTTGTTGATGCGTGTCCTTGCTGTTAGTAGTATATGCTATCGATGCCGTGCAGTTGGTGTATGCTAGAGATGCCTGGTGTGTACAGCACAGGATGTGTATTGCAGTGTTGATGTTTTGCATGTGCTCCCGTTGTCCTGTTCGATGTGTATTGCATTTGATGTGTGCTCATTGCGCCCATTGCCCATGCGTGTGCCGATGTATCGTTGTGATGCACGTTCTTACTTGTGTTAGTTGTGCATGTCTTAATGCATGCGCCTGCTGCATATAATGTATATGACCTTGGTGGTTGCTCTTGGTATACGGTGTGGCTGCCTGCACTTGGATTATTACCCCCACGTAGGTTTGATGGACTTCTCTAATGTATTGTATTGATCCCTGCTAGTTGCGAATGTACTCGATGCTTGTTGGTGATGCCTGTTCGGGTTGTTGGTTCATGATCTGTGGTATGGGTGTACATTGTTATCAATGTAATGTTTGCATGGCTGCTCTTGGTGTGTTCTCTTGATGGGCGTTATTGCTGGCTGTTCCTCCTGCCTGTGCTGGATCTACGTTCCTGGGTGCCTGTCCTTGATGTCTGCTCTTGATGTGTGTTACTGCTGCATGTCCTTGATGTGCGATCCTGATGCCGTCCGCGATGCACGTTCTCGATGTATGGTCTTGTTGCTTGTTATGGGTGCGTGTTCTTGATGTCTGTTTTAGGTTATGTCGATAGCGTGGAGTCGTGCCGCCTGGATGGGGTGACTGACGCCGTGATGCCTTCCTGGTAGGGCTGGGATACCCATAGACAGCTGGGGAGGTTTGGAGCCCTGCGGCCGCGGTGTGAAGGGATGGCGGGGTGGCCTACGTCTGTTTATTCTGAAACTACCCCCCCCCCTCTACAGTCGGGGCCCTGAAGAAGGAACACTTTTTGTTGGGAGGGGCTCCGTGTTCCTCAGTTGCTTTACAGTGCTCCTTGGGTTTTCCTGAGGTTTTCCATGGAACATCGGAGTTTACTATATGGGAACAAGGGGCCTCGTTCCTTATTTATCGTTCCTTAGGTCAACGCCCCGACTGTACTCCCCGCTCCGCAGCCGCCGACTGGGGCAAGCCGGACTCCAGTCACAGGTTCCCCCCCTCCTCTTTCTCTGCTGTTCCTGACTGGAGGCAGCTGTTCCCCACTCCCGCCGCGCAGGCTGATCGGGGTCAAGTGTTGATCGGGCGGGGGGGGGTGGCGCCGCTGTGGGGCAGCTCAGGTCACCTGCAGCGCTGCCATCAGCGCGTTCGCGAAGAGCAAGCGGGCCGCAGAGGGGGGTGTCTGCACTTGCTTGCCCGCGTTCCAGGGCACGGAGGCCAGCAGGTCTAAACGGCACGAGGATCTGTTGGTGGTGTGTGACCTATCCCAGTGACGCAAGTTTACTCATCCTGGCAATCCCCGTTACGAAAGTTGATGCATCTTGGCTAAAATGGTCATGTATGGGCGCTGTGGTCAGAAGCAGTCTGGGGGTGATTGTTTCGTTGTGATTTCATACGGGGAGATGTGCAGAGTTGGATGTAAGTGGCCGGGAGTGACTTCCCCCTTGTGAGTTTCTAGGGGGAGAGGTTGTGTGCAGAAGTTGCTATGTGCAATTAATTGTACACTGGGGAGAACCCTTGAAAGCTCTCCCGCCCAGCCAGGCCGAAAGCCATCGTGCGAGGAGTCTACGGGGAAAGGGGGGCACCGCTCGGTGACAGGCGAGTCGTCAGTGCTCAAGAAGCACAACTTTCGTAACAGGTAAGTGATGACAGCGACGATGAGACTGTCGGTGACGATTTAATGTCGTGGTGATAATACTTACGACGGTGATGGGCTAGGTCATTGGATTGTAAAGGTGGATGGTGAGATTTGGAATTTGCACGCGAGAAGATAATGACAACACTGGTGGTGGCAATTGAAATATTCGGCGGAGGTTGAGCAAACGACATCAAACGTGGTAGCGCAAAGAGACCACGATGATGCGGACGAGGGGTGAGTATCCAGAGGGTGATGGTGATGATGATTGTGGTGGTGATGATGTTGGTAATGATGATGACGACGATGATGAAAATGATGAAGTTGATGATGATGCTGCTGCTGATGATGACGATGGTACTGATGATGATGATGACGATGATGATGATGATGCTGCTGATGCTGATGCTGATGCTGATGCTGATGCTGATGATACTGAGGATGCTAATGGTGAAACTGCTAAGACTTCTTAGGGTCTGGATCGGAATATGCGCAACGGGATGCGGAGAGGCATGCTGATGAGGACGATGCGGTCAATTCGGGGGACGAGAGCACTTGAAGGATGTTGGATAGGTTGTGGATGAGCGCGATGTGGATGAGACAGCGGAGGAATAGGACACATACTGGAATAATAGAACAACGATTGTCATATTGAGGACCGGTAGAAGGAGGAGTCCAGATATTCGGGGGAGTGCGAGGAGGGAAAGCGATGAGGTGGATGAGTATAAGGGATAAGGATTGGTCTGAAGATGAGCACGTTGAGTAAATCTTCCCTGCGCCTCCTCCCCCTTTCACCACTCCCCCTTCCCCCTCCCTCTCCCTCTTCTTCATCCTCCCTCCCCTCTCCCTCCTCATTCACCCTTCTCTCCCCCTTCCCCTTTCTTCAACTGCAGGAGGGTGGAGGAGAAGAAGCATGAGGAGCAGGAGGAGGTGGAACTATGATAAAGATGATGATTCTGACGGTGCTGATGGTGAGGCGGAGGATTGACGAGGGAGGGGGTGCCCAGATCATGACGAGGAGGCGGATGAGAACCGACTCTGTACCTCCCGCAAGGGCGTTTCAGGACCGCCCCATGGGACGTGCTGAGAGCGTCTAGGAGGAGTACGTCGAGGGTGGTGAATGGTAGGTTCGTGTCGTGCCAGCGCGTCAGTGCCCCAGCCCGGCCGTTCAAGGTAGAGCGCCGCCAGCTGCTCAGAATCGGCCAATATGAGACGATTTGGCGATCAAACATTCGGCGATCATTCAAGGCTGAACGATCCACGCGATGTCAGAAACGAGCGCTGGGGTCGTCAGGACGCGAACCTGCCGTACGGAGGGAAGCAACATGGCGAGAAGATGTGCCTCACGGCCAGTGCTATTCCAGCGGGTAGCAGACAAATACCCCGTGCCAGCGTGATATACCGACTCGGAGACGCATGCAGTGATGATTAATTCGAAATTTGCGACGCGACTCCACGACCGCGACCCAAGTCCGCGACCTGCGCCTGAGACTTACGGCTCACGTAGAACACGACCAGAATACAATTAGAGCACAACCTAGAGCACAACTCATTTCATGGTAGTCAGGCACGCCTTCGCGCCAGGACATCTCAAACAAGTCGAATTCTCTCTCTCTCTCTAGACAGGTCCTGTGCAACCTTATCGGGAGAAAACGGTACTTTCGTGAGTCGTGCGTGCTCTAGATTTTGATATAGTTGTGCTCTGGTGGTGGTCTAAGGCCTTTGTGGTGGGATCGGCGGGTGCCCCCCCCCCTAAATCTGGCAATGGTGGCACTGATGCAAGTTGGCTAGCACTTTTTTGATGCGTGTGCCTCCAGGTCGAGGGTCTTTCTACTTGCGCGCAGATCAATGGATCCCATTGGGTCCTACTATGTGTGCAAGTTCGTGGATCCCATGCCGATCTTTCGGATCGAATGTTTGGGCAGGAAACTTTCGGGGATCCCATGCTTTTCGTTGGGATGGGTATATGGGGCCTCGCCATTCGTTCCGACGCGCGGCCTTCCCTCTTGGGGAGGGTTCCTCGGCCACCAGGGCGATGACGGCCGTCACCTGGGGGCCGGGGGGGGGAGGGGGCCGATGACGTCACGTTTCGCGCTGGCGGCGTCTGGGAATGCCTAGGAATGGCCGAGGTAGGTGGCGATCGGCACCACAGCGCTTGTGTACACCACAGTGCCTGCGTTCACCACAGCGCCTTTGTACACCACAGCGCCTGTGTACACCACAGCAGCCGCGTGCAACACACCGCCAGTGTGCACCACAGTGCCTGTGTGCACCACTGCACTTGTGCACACCGCAACGCCTGCGTGCACCACAGCAGCCGTGTGCAACAGAGCACCATCGTTGTGTATAGAATTCTAGAAGAAATCCTTCTGACAAAATGGAACGCCTGCGGATTCCACAGCAAACATTGTTGCATATATAGGGTTTGCAAAGGGATCCGTATGGTAAAAGGTGCGCCGCTGGAATCTACCAGCCCTCCCGCATCATCCTCACTCCTCCCATCTGCGTCCAGACGGCTCCCGCAGAATTGGCCGTCTGAGAACCAAGTGGACTGATTCAATATACCATTCTGCTGTGCACACTGAAACGCGCACGTGCGCTGTGGCGCCGACCTGCACTACGGGGGTAGGGGTGAGGAAGGAGGAGGAGGAGGAGGAGGAGGAGGAGAAGGAGGTGGAGCAGGAGGACGAGGAGGGAGGAGGGCAGCACATCGAATTCTACGCGTGGTGTTTAGCTGTCGGCAGCAGGTCCTCACAGACATGCTCCTTCTACGTGTCCTGTGGACGCAGGCGCTACGGTGTACAGCGCTGCGCGGCACGCGAATGCTGAGGTGTACACATTCGCCGTGGTGTACACAGGCGCTGTGTTGCACGCACGCACGGTGGTGTACACAGGCGCTGCGTTGCACACGGTTGTTTGGGTGTGCGCAGGTGCTGTGGTGCACGCCCAGGCTGTGGTGCACGCGAGCTCTGCGGTGTACGCAGGCATTGCGATGCAGATCGCCACCTACATGCTGCTCCGACTTGGCCCCGGTCATCCCTAGGCATTCCCAGGCGCTATGGGGGGGGGGAGCGGGGCCGGCGACGGCCGCTATCCCGGAACATCAAAAACACAGGCTCTTGCCTTGGTGGTTGGTCTGCCGTGGGTTCCGCGCATTTTGCCGCGGGATTTGCCGTGGGTTTGCCGTGGGGCTGGCCTCGTATTCTTGGGTTGCGGGATGCAGGGTTTGCCGTGGGTTTGCCGCGGTGTCGGCGTCGTCCAGTTCTGGCGCGTCGGGAACAAACGGCACGGCAACTTATATTCACATAACCACTCTAGCATCCTGGGCCCACAGGAAATGCGAATACACGGAGCCGTGGATCTGCAGACCAACTCAAAGATTCGACGTGGAATACGTTTCCGTGTCGATCGGCCCGTCGGTCGGTTGGTCGATCGTCGTCGTCGTCGGTATGTTGGACGGTCGGCCGGCCGGCCAGTCGGTCGGTTGGCCGGTGCGTCGGTCGGTCGGTTGGTCGTCGTTTTCGTCGTCGTCGTTCGTCGGTCGGTCGTCGTCGTCGGTCGTTAGGTCGGTTGGTCGGTCGAGCGGTGTGTCGGTCTGTCGGTTGTCGTCGGCGGTGTCGTCGTCGGTCGGTCGTCGTCGTTAGTCGGTTGCTCTGTTGGTCTGTCGTCGTCGTCGTCGTCGGTCGTCCCCGTCGTCGTCGGCGCAATCGGTCAGTCGATCGTGGTCGTCGTCGTCGTCGTCGGTTTGCCGATCGGTCGGCCAGCCTGCCAGTCGGTCGGTCCGTCGTCGTGGTTGCCGCTTTGTCAGACGGTCCATCGTCGTCGTGTTCGTCGGTGTTCGGCTGGTCGTCGGTCGGTTGGTTGCGTATTATTGGCTTTACAAGTTCTAAGACAACCTCCTCCAGGCAGCAGGGCGCGTTGCAAGATGGGTGCCCTGGGCCCCCCCTCAGTCGAAAGGGCAGACGAGTTCGCCGTGTGCGCAATCAACGCCCGCCAGAGAAAGTCCCGCAATGGCCCCCGATGCCCCGCATCCCAAAGTTGGCGGACGACGGCGCCAGAAGGGATGGCGGAGCGTGCGGCAAAATGATTGAGCGTGCCCTCCTGCGAGGGGCCCATCGCTTCCCGATGAACCTAGAGATCCGGGGGCGAGGGGGGCGTTTTGTGATATCCCGTTCCCCATGTAGGCCCGACACGGGCGTTTCTTTTAGCAACCAGCGGTGTCGTGGTGTAGGTTTCCTCGTCTTCCGTCGAAGACCCTTCGGGCTAGTCGTTACCGCCTCCTGAGGCCGAAGAACGGTTCCTCTTGGGGTGGAACGCCAGGACGCCTTTCGAGACCTCGTGGGCTGACCCTGGTGCCTCCCATGGCCTTCTTGGCGATCTCCCTCTCTCTTGCGGCCCTGGTCGGCCTTTTTCGGGCACTGTGTGGGTCGTCTTGAGGATCGCTCAGGCTGTCTTCGGTACACTGTTGGGCCCTTTGGGGGTTGTCTTGGAGCGTTCTTGGGCCGTTTCTGGCCTCCTCCAGAGCCCCTCTTGGGGATCTCTTGCCGTCTTGGGGCTGTTTACATCCATCGTGGGACCCTCGCGGGGCC